CTGAAAATGAAGTTCAAACAGGGCTTAAAGAAGCACACATCAAAACCTAGTTATTTTTTCGAGCACGAGGGAGAAGGGGAACATTCTTCATACCAACGGTTTTGACAAATAACCACAACGTGAATTGTGGAATTACCATAGCGATCTCTTGAGAGGAAGAAAGGAATGACTGGAGAGTGGGGGATTATAAAAATTGAATTTAAAATATTTGAATGTGGGTTTTATTAAAATTTATTGAAATCATTGGATTTATTAGTACATTCGAGTGTATAAGACAACGAACAAATAATTGAAGTACATCAAGAAACCAAGTACAAGAAGCTAGTCTAAATTGTTTTTAGTATTAAGTAATCAATCCCTAGAAATTCAAAAGGAGAGAAACATCTGTTTTGTTTTTAATAATGCACATCACTTTTCCTGCAAGTGGGTTACAAAAGTTGGTATGAATCATTACAGTAAATGCCAAAAGTTTCAAACTGTATTGTTAAGACATTTGGTGTTTATTATAAAGTTTGTTTAGGATTTTTTTTTCATTTTATAATGGAATGAAATTTCCTTTCCACTTGTAAGTTTGTACTTTGTGCTTCCGATGAGATGCGTCGGACGAGCTCTTGACCATTCTCACATCGATTGTTATCAAAATAATTTGTGAGTTCTTTAATTGCTTCGAATAGATGAATGTAACATAATTGGTAGAGGGCATTTTGTAGCAGTATGCAGAAAGGAGAAAAAGGGCTAAGAACTATTTTAGAAACAAATCAAGTAGATAACGATTGAAATTTCTAGTTACATTCATAACACTATTTAATGACGATAAAATTTGTATCTCAATCAATCTCAGACAATGAAGCAATGAACTATAAGGAACTAAGAGTCCATTTGATTGCAATGATGAAATTTGGGTGGAAAGAAAACGAATTTCAGATAATTGAATTACCTAAAACTTTTTTTTTTTTTGGGAATTGTCAATTAACGTATTTGATTGGTATAATTTTTCACCTGGAAAATGTTGAAATTTTTTATCTTTTAGTATTCGTTTGACTTTATTTTTTGTTGAAATTATCAATTAAAATGACAAAATTTGTTACAATTGGTGATATAATTTATTCTAATTGTCAAAAAAAAAAAAAATGAGGCTGTGAGAAT